TGGGGTTGGGGGTGGTTAGGACGTGAGTGTGTGCGTGAGTTTGTGTGTGTGTGGGCGGAGTAACCACCCCAACCGCGCCCTCCAACCCCGTCCACCCCTACATACGCTCGCACATACCTCCCCCACCTACCCCCTCCCACACACACACCCACACACATACGCACACACACACTCTCATTCTAACCACCCCAATCGTAGGGTTGGAGGAGTGTGCATGCGTTTGTATGGGTAGGGGCGGGTAAAAAGGATATGTCTGTGTGTGTGTGTTTGTATGTTGTGTGCGTTTGTATGTGTGTGTATGTGCATGTATGTGTGTATGTGTGTGTGCGTTTGTTTGTGTGTGTGTGTTTGTGCGTGTATGTGTGTGTGTGTTGTTTGATGTGCGTATGTGTGTGTGTGTTTATTTTTGTATGTATGTGTGTATATGTGTGTACGTGTGCACGTGTGTATGTGTGTGTACGTGTGTATGTGTGTGTATGTGTGTATGCGTTTGTATGTGAGTGTATGTGTGTATGTGTGTATTTGTATGTGTGTGTGTATTTGTATGTGTGTGTGTGTGTGTGTCTGTCTGTGTGCCGGTGGGTCGGCTAGGGTAGGTGGGCGGTTGAGATGAGTGCACGAGGTGGGGACGGGGGCGGGGGGGGGGGGAATGTTTTTGGTGTATATATATATACGGCATGTTTGTCGTTATATAAAGAATATCAATAACAATCATAGAAATTTCCTATTCTGGTGAAGATGAAGATCGTGATGAAGTTTGTGACCATGGTGACGAAAATGTTGGAGCTGGTGCTGATATTTGACTAAAATTGAGAAGTTTGAGGACTAAAATGGAGATGGTAATGACTAAGATGGTGGTGCTATTGACTTATAAGACTTACCGCAATAGTATGACTGGGGAGGAACGTTGGTTGGCTGATGTCATCCCCTTTAATATCTGGCACGTCTACCATCTCACATTGGCCTGGGTTGGAGAAAGGGGAGGGGGTGAGGGGTGGGTATGTATGTATGTATGTATGTATGTGTGTGTGTATGTGTGTATGTGTGTATGTGTGTGTGTGTGTGTGTCTGTGTGTGTGTGTATGTATGTATGTATGTATGTATGTATGTATGTATGTATGTATGTATGTATGTATGTATGTATGTATGTATGAATGTAAGTATGTATGTATGAATGTAAGTATGTATGTATGTATGTATGTATGTATGTATGTATGTATGTATGTATGTATGTATGGGTGCGTGTGTGCGTGAGTATGTGTGTGCACGCGTATGTAATACTATGTGCCTATAAAAGTGACTTGTAATTTCCATATGTTTCACGTTAAGCGCAAAGAGCACTGCATAAGTGGATATGCGCTATATAAATGCAATCCATTATTATTATTATTACTCTATCCGACCTCATTCACAACCAAAGTTCCAAAACCTCAAAATCTACTGACGTGGCTATCTTTACTACCCTCAGGTCACTTAAGCCTACAAGTGTGTTGCCCTCCCACACATCGGCGACTCTGACCTCAACATGCCATTGCTTCTTCCTTTGTACCGCCCTGTATTGAGACGAAAAAAGCTAGAAGTTCGAATAGTCACCACCTGGACTGTTTTAGTTTTAGTAACAGTTTTACGGCACTTGCAACACAATAAGGTCATAGAAGTGCAGAAGATTACAGATGTTACAAGAGAGTAAAAACACAAAAAAGAAGGAGGGGAGATAAAGACGATAGATGTTTGACAGGAAAGAAGACACCAGAGCACCCGCCAACAACCCACCCACCTGGACTGAAGAAAGCGAAGACCAACTGAGAGGATGTTTTGACTGTACCAACTGGAATGTCTTTATCAATACATGTTGTGATATCAATTATAAATGTACAACAGTCACAAACGATGTTAATTTTTGTGCAGATATAGTGGCCCTTAAAAAACAAGTCACCATCTCCCCTAACTCTAAACCGTGGATAAATTCTGGAATATAAGACCTAATCCATAAAAAGAAAAAAAGGCTTTTAAAAACCATGACAAATCAGAACTAAAAGTCATAGACAAAGCTATTAAGAAAAAATTCTGGGTTGAAAAACAGAAATATAAAAAAGAAACTGGAAGATCTATTTCGATCAAATAACTCTCGTAAGACACGGTCTGGGCTTTTAAGACCATAGTGGGCTTCAATAATATCCCAACAAATGTATGTGTTGACAACGAAGAGAGCTACGCAAATAAACGCCATGCATTTTTCTCCCGATTTGACAAAAGCAGTCAGAGTGACTTGCCATGTGTGAATACCGACATAAATCAAAATAATGTTGTTGTTGTGGTTGTTGTTGAAGAACGTGAGGTTAGATGTGTGTTTGGACTTGTGAATGTGAGAAAGGCGAGTGGCCCTTGTGGCCCTGACGGTGTGCAACCCAATATTCTAAAAATGTGTTCAGTACAGCTTAGTTCTATTTACACCTATATTATCAACCAGTCCTTGCTAACACATGCTATTCCCACCATTTGGAAATGTTCTGAAATTGTCCCTCTTCCAAAGAAAGAAAAAATTACAGAAACGAATGACCTAAGATCAATAGCCTCAACATCCGTAGTTCTAAAATGTCTTTAAGAATTGTGCTAAAAAGACTACGAACGTACATAGAACCCACCCAGGACCCTCTACAATTCGCATATCGTCATGTGAGAAGTGTGGAAGACGCCGCTCTACTATTTCTTGACAATATAATATATAGACACTTAGACAAGTCAAAAACATACTACAGGATCCTGTTTGTTGGTTTTTCTTCAGCTTTAAATACTATCCAGCCAGCTATCCTTTTAGAGAAATGAGAAAACATAGGTGTTACAGTCAATTTGATATCATGGATAAGGAGTTTTCTCACAACCGAAAGCAGTATGTTAAATTAAAATATTCCTCGTCGACACACATCACAACAATTAATACAAGGGCCCCTCAAGGATGTGTTTCATCACCAGTTTTATTCACACTATACACGAACGATTGCCAAATAAACAACAGTAACATCAAGTAGATCTAATTTTCGGATTATTCAACCATAATTGGGCTCATTCAGGCTGACCATAACGAAACCGCTTACCAGAATTTTGTACTGAACTTTTCTGAATGTTGTGAAAATCATGAACTAGGGGCCTACTTTTAAACGTGAAAAAGCCAGAGAACTTGTAGTTGACCTTAGAAAAAAAGAAACTGCCCCTGCAGCCGTTCGAAAATATAAACGAAAACGTAGAGAAAATATCAGATTATAAGTATTTGGGTTTTACAATAGACATCAAACTCAACTGGCATGTCCACACTTCTCTCCTGCTTAAAAATGTAAACAAAAGACTGTTATTTCTAAGGATGCTCATGTATTTAAAAGTTGATAAAACATTGATGTCAATATCCTATCATTCAACCATAGAAAGTATGATCACATTCCGTATAACAGCATGGGCCGGGAACACAAGACAACAAGATAGAGAAAAATGTACTCGATTAATACGGAAAGCATGCAAAGTTTTAACATCTGCATTCCCCTACTCGGATGAATTGTACATTACAGCTTACACTAAAACAAGTTTATTCCATCTTTTTGGACAATAAACATCCCTTGTTCCCTCAAATAAAAACGTCAGTCAGAAGTAAAAGACCTAGGCTTCTGATCCGTAACAAAGAAAGATACAGAAGGTCATTTTTATCATTAAAATTTTCCATCTTAACCATCTCGTTAAAGGTATTCATATGCCTTTAGAGCATGCATCAGAACAACATTGAGTTACAGTCAGAATACTGAGTATGTATCTAGCTTAAGATTATTATTGTTTATGTCACTGTTCATTTGTATTATGCATGTGACTGTAAGCCTGCGTGTGTGTACATGTTTGTGTATGTGTGTGCGTGTGTGTGTGTGTGTGTGTGTGTGTGTGTGTGTGTGTGTGTGTGTATGTGTGTGTACATAGATAGACAGGGACAAGAGAGTGAGGCTGACGACGTTGGGCAACTCTCCCTCACTTAAAACAAATTCAAGCGCAAGTCAAGCGCTATTTCCGAGCGGAGATCGGCCTGATCAACCATCTCCGCACACACCCGACCCTTCCAGTGATATGAAGTCAAGGTCATCTTCGCTCGCAAATGAAGAACATGATCGAGTGTGTACATGGTGAAACACCAAACCAATGTGACAGGATCTGGACAATAAAGATGTATTTTAAGGCAGACAGACCGAGAGAGAGAAAGACAGAGACAGACAGACAGACAGACAGACAGA